CATAGGCTCATCATTCCGATAGCCCAGTTGGGGTTAAGCCACAATACTAAAGACCTGTACATTTCGAAGAGCCTGCATTTAGCTCAGACCAAGTGTGCATAGTGGTTTCAGGAAAAAGAACACAAATGCATCAACCACAAATACCCTATAAGATCTGAATAATTGCTTCAAACTAAAAAAGCTTATTTCTCTAAAATTTTGTGCACAAATGTGTTTACATCCCTTTTAATGAGCCTTTCTCCTTTGCCAAGATAATTCATCCACCTGACAGGTGTGGCATATCAAGAAGCTGATTAAACAGCATGATCATTACACAAGTGCACCTTCTGCTGGGGACAATAAAAGGCCACTAAAATGTGCAGTTTTGTCACTCAATACGATGCCACAGATGTCTCAAATTTTGAAGGGTCGTGCAATTGGCATGCTGACTGCAGGAATGTCCACCAGAGCTGTTGCCAGAGAATTGAATGTTAATTTCTCTACCATAAGACACCTCCAACGTCATTTTAGAGAACAGTACATCCAACTGACCTCACAACCACAGACCACGTGTAACCATGCCAGCCCAGGACCTTCACATCCGGATTCTTCACCTGCGGGATCGTCTGAGACCAGGCACCCGGACAGCTGATGAAACTGTGGGTTTGCACAACCAAAGAATTTCTGCACAAACTGTCAGAAACCGTCTCGGGGAAGCTCATGTGCGTGCTCGTTGTCCTCACCAGGGTCTTGACCTGACTGCAGCTCGGCGTCGTAACCGACTTCAGTGGACAAATGCTCACCTTCAATGGGCACTGGCATGCTGGAGAAGTGTACTCTTCACGGATGAATCCCGGTTTTAACTGTACCGGGTAGATGGCAGACCACGTGTATGGCGTTGTGTGGGTGAACGGTTTGCTGATGTAAACGTTGTGAACAGAGTGCCCCGTGTTGGCGGTGGGGTTATGATATGGGCAGGCATAAGCTACGGACAACAAACACAATTGCATTTTATCGATTGCAATTTGGATGCACAGAGATACCGTGACGAGATCCTGAGGCCCATTGTCGTGCCATTCATCCGCCGCCATCACCTCATGTTTCAGCGTGATAATGCACAGCCCCATGTCGCAAGGATCTGTACACAATTCCTGGAAGCTGAAAATGTCCTGCATACTCACCAGACATGTCACCTACTGAGCATGTTTGGGATGCTCTGGATCGACATGTACGACAGCGTGTTCCAGTTCTTGCCAATATCCAGCAACTTCGCACAGCCATTGAAGAGGAGTGGGACAACATTCCACAGGCCACAATCAACAGCCTGGTCAACTATATGGGAAGTAGGTGTCACGCTCCATGAGGCAAATGGTGGTCACACCAGATACTGACTGGTTTTCTGATCCACGTCCCTACCTTTTTTTTAAGGTATCTGTGACCAACATATGCATATCTGTATTCCCAGTTATGTGAAATCCATAGATTAGGAACTAATGCATTTATTTAAATTGACTGATTTCGTTATATTTCGATGTAACTCAGTAAAATCTTTGAAATTGTTGCGTTTTATATTTTTGTTCAGTGTACTATATACTCCTATAGGCTGTCACTGCAGGCAGCCAGGACTCGGGATGATGCTGATTTGGTTTTAATGGATTCTTTCGGTAGATGGATTGTACACTCAAGCTGTCTCTTTGAAACTACATTCCAATTGTAAGCAGGCCCTCAGTGAGAACTGCTGAAGTCAAGTGTATTAGGCTAATATATCACATTTTCATACAATGTGTTAAGTTTGCAGCGCTTGACAGATAATGCTGTCATGTTGCTCACAAGCACAATGTGTAGCCTACTACCAACCTTGGCACATACTGTAACAGTTTTTCAATACAATGCGTGTCAGGAGACTGGTTTGCCTCTTCTTAACCCTTAATACAGACGTTTTCGATAAAACAAAGGGTATGGAAGAGAATTTTTTGGAAGAAAATACTCCTCACTTTCCGAACACAGTTGTAGTAATGTGAGAACTAACTGGTAACAATGTTGAATAGGCCTAGGCATATTTTTTTTAATGAGTCATTAGTGACAAATTAGTTGCCTGAAGGAAAGGATGTTGACAGTAACAAGTACATTCTTATTTTTATATGTTTGAGTTGGCAATTGTGGTACAAATTACGCAGCTGAGTTAGGCCTAAATCCAACCCATCTGCCCTCCCACCATTTTGCAACGTTATAACTACAAAACTAGCTTGACTTCTAGAACTCCCACTGTTTGGTTACCACACAGACGTGACCTTACACCAAGTAAATGGTGTAATCCTAAACCCCTCAATCCACTTTAATTTAATGCTCTATCTGTGTGACATGAAGTCAGAGGCACAGTACTGTTGCAGCATCAACACTATTGTGCCAATGATTTGAAAACACTTTGAGCATGGACATCTATGGGCTTCTTGGAGTTGAGGTTAGCCTATATCAAATTAAGAAAGTGTGAAAGTACATTTGATATTCGCCAAACCAAAAGTAACATAGACCAATCATAGTGACAAAGGTCTCCATGTGCTGGATGTTCAAGCCTAATCCTAAAGTCCTAGGGCCATCCCTGTCCTTGAAACAAATCGAATGATGCTTTTCTTGACTTTTCCTTTGCTCTTTTATGACTTAAAATGATGGGATATGGAGCCATATTTTTTTTGTTATTGTATCTAAAGCTTAGCTAGATGGAAATACTCTAGAAAGATTTATGGCCATGTCTTTCTGGTTGTCAATTATCAGTATTGGGTTATAATAGGCTTTGTGGTCGGCAGCAAGTCGAAACAGGTCTCCTACTTTCGCTGTTTTGCATTCATCACAGAGAAAAGGAATTTCAGCTTGCTATCCCGATTTCAGATCTGCCACAGAGTCATCATAAGTACGTTCTGGTTGATGTGTGGATTTACACAGTGTAGCCTCGCTAGCCATTCTAACGTTTGGCAGACATTTCTATCCAAAGCAACAGTGCTTAGATTTTTTTGTATGTATGTGACCCGAGCAGGAACTGAACCCGCGACCCTGGCGTTGCTAATGCCTCTTACCAACTGAGCCACAGAAGTGCTCTATGATATTCAGGAGATGATGCGCTCAAATGTTTTCACTGGGATTTAAATTGATAGTTATTTAGAGGCATTTAGGATAGTCCGTGCCTCCTTTTGGCTAAATATTCAGTCAAGGCCCAAGTCTTTATTTAATGAGGAAGCCACAGCCTTTTTCAATTCCTTTATGTCCCACAGAGATCCGGTAAGGCAAAGGCAGTGGATTGCCCTCATTTCCAGCTCTGGCAGAATCCAGTTCATTCTGTTGTTCTCATGCATAATGGAGAATGCCACTTCTTAGGGATAAACAGAATGCCTTGAGTGAGATGGACTGAGCATGGGTTTGAAATCTACCTGCTGTTTTAGAGGCAGGTGGCAGGATATTGTACCACTCTGTAGGGTTCATTTTGTTTCCCTATTAACGTACCAAGCTCACATCAACGTATTAGCACGTCGTCACTTTCATGTGTCAATGTTGAGATGGTAGTATACCCCGGATGTAAGGATCGGGATGGTGTTTGTTTTATGTGGTGCACACAATCAGGTCTTTAAATTAGATTGTCACCACTCAACACCCCCCCCCCCCCCCCCACCCCACCCCACAACTACCTTGATCGTCACTAAATCTGATTAGGAAGCTAAGACACTGGAGGACGCTATTTTGGTCTGTCCAGGGAGACTTGTTGCAATGTAATAATCAATGGTAAATGGCAATATTTCAGACCCTTGGTGCCAATGCCATCTTATTATAGCAACATCATTCCTATATTTGAAGAAAATACAGATTTGAATGGTGAATGTTATATGCTATGGTTTCCTGTCTTTATTTCTGAATAGACATTAAATCGGATCGTCATTCTCACAATTTTTCCTCTTTCGTTCTAGGGAAACGAAGCAAGTTATCCCTTGGAGATGTGCACACACTGTAAGTATTTGAGATTATGGCTGGCAACTTCTCCAACACTGCTGTCTGTGATTCAAACAATATCAGCTGTGGGCTGCCCTGTATGTAATATTCAGATATGACTGGAGTTTAATCTTAATTTCTGCATGTGAGAGAAAAAAACGTGTTTGTTCATTTGATTGACCGAGAACTATTTTGATGTCAAAAGTTTAGGCTTTGGGATTGCATTGTCTCTGGTTTAAAGAGTCAACTCAAAGGCCAGAATCTACCATGGGCGTTGCAGTTCACAAAAGTCTGGGACACTTAAGCGGTAAACAACTGGTCCGGCCGGGGGAATCAATATGACAGCCAACGTTGAGCAGACCAATATATACATCGCCGCACGCTATACTGCATTCTTCAGGCCTCCGTCCTTCACAGTGTGACCCAGTCTCAGACGCTGCTGGGAGGCGTGAGCACTTTGCTGCCACGGCTAAAAATGCCTCCCCCCTCATAAAGGTCAGTTTCAGGGCTTGTGGGAGAGCCTTGTTTATTTTTAGTCTGAGTAATATTCCATTTTTAATTGGTTTGTCGCCCTGCTGTGCCATCCCCCCCACCCTCATCAATCCCCCCACCCCTCAAGAGAAAAGGGGGCTAATTAGAGTTTCAGGACTGAACTTTCTGGCACTACTTTTTCGGGAACTCCCTCCTGTGGAGGATTGTGGCGTGCAGAGCCGGAGCTCGGACGTCAATGTTGGCCGGTGTCGAGTGTGTTCTGGTGGGGTGGGAAAACAGCGCAGGGCGCCCACCTCTGCACCTCCCTAACGAGCTGTTACGACGGCACTTGTTACTTTACTTGCCTTGAAACCCTGAACAATCTCCCTGTCTCTGTTTCTCCCCACCCAGTGCCCAGTCTTGTACAGAATGTGTTTGGTTGGAAAAGCAAATGCCAAACGCTCAGTTTTCAATCATTTTGAGAGAGACCGGACTATAACGTAGGACTTTGGCAAGGGTGCAAGTAGACGGTTCAACTTTCTGGAGTTGATTTAGAGGTCCCACTTCATAAAGACTTGCCACTTTGATGCTGGCCTCAGTTTTACATTTTCTCAAACAGCTTGGGCTTATGGACCAGCTGACACAACCCCTACCATCAAAACACACCTGTGTTTCAGAGTCCTGTCTGGGTTGTGCACCTGCAGGACAATAAAAACCAAAAGACTTCAACAGGTGTCTCAAATCTCAGCCAGCCGATGGACTTCCCCACATTGGGATATTTTTGGGAGTCTACCACCCCCACCCTCCTGGGAGCAGGGCGTGGGGCAGCTGTTCACCGTGTCAAGAAGGCGCACAGCCTTAAATCAGCTGTGCGCTCTGAGCTGGCAGCGTCTGAACACTGGTAGCTCACCCAGATCCCTGTCTTGGTCCACTAGTCAGGGCGTTCATTAGTAGACCCCTAGAATGCTGGTCAGTTCAGTGTTTTTTACCCCAAATGGTAAAAGTTGGATATGGGGAAGGGGAAGCTGATCCTAGCAGAGGGGAAACGTCTACTCGGAGGGTTGGGTGACTCCCTGTGCACGGCTGAAGCTGGGGCTAAACAGAAAACACTCTACTGGTCCTACAAAGACTGTTTTTTGCTTCAAGAAAACAACATGGTGACTCCCTGCATAACACCTTCAATTGAGTTGCAGACTTCCGCTTTTCTGTAGTAGTACCCACTAACTGTTCAAAAACTATGACCTGCTGCTCAATTAGCCCTCTGAAGTAAATTGTATCGAAATGATTTGAGATGCATCAAGAGAGTAAAAAGACAGAATCTAGTCAGTCTTTATTCATCCCCCCCCCCCCCCCCCAAAGTCTTAGCATCTGCTGAGAGCTTTGGGCGTGTCGTAAGGAGCACCAGTCAAGCATGGTGATGCAGCAGAATGAGCTACAAACCAGCACTTCAAGAAAAACGAACTTCTCATATATTGTAGAGAGACAGAGCTGAGAGGATTTATTCGGCTGTTTGGGAGAGCTGCAGTGCTTTGATGCGCCTCAGTGGGTGCTGCTTTTTCAGTAAGATCAGCAGCGTGACTGGCACACATGTAGGAGGGGTTGTGTTTCTGCGGCAGTGAAATTAAGAGAGATGGCAGCCCATTTGAGATGGCACTCATCGTAGCCCCTTCACGTAAATGGCGGCGTAGTCACCGCTGCTGCCTCATTATCTGCCTCTTGTCAGATGCGTGTTTGGTTTATAGGTGTGATGTTGGCTAGCTTGCGTAGCCGTTATATCTCACTATGGGGGGGGGGGGACGACATGATTTGTTTACAGGTCTCTAGAGCAAACCAGTGTCTAGAATGACTATAAAATTACTATTTAGACTCTTATGGGGCTACATCTTGACACCTGCCTGAATGCTAGTAACACTAACATAACAAATTGTTGATAATCCATTTGTGGTGGTAACCCTGTTCCTAAAATATCATAACCGGGTCTTGATTCATGAGGACTCGAAGACCGTCTCAGAACGCTCAAGCGCACACTTGACTGCCCTGGCTTCAGCATTAGCCTACTTGCTGTTGTGTATGTGTGGTCATTGGTTGTGAGGGAGATAAGGCCCAGTGAGCCGAATTATGAAACCTATGTGAATGTAACACGTCGTCTCCTCCTGCAGCTCAGTTTGTGTTGAAAGCCTCTCCAGCTGGCTGTCTGACTGCAGCCCTCAAAATACCCTCCCTCCCCTTCTGTATGTTAGCTAGCAGGGCTTCCTTGTTGCTAGGGGTTTCCCGAGGGGAGGGCAGCACCAGCCATTTAGCTGTGTGTGTGTGTGTGAGAGGGGTGTTTCTTACTGCCTTGTGGCTATAAATACTTTTTTCCTCTATCTATTTGAGCTACACTCGTGGACAGAATAGTACACAGCACTCTCTGGCATATGCTGTTGTGCCAGTGTAATTGAATTAATGCAGTGCTGTTGGGGCCTGTGCCTCTGCAGCTGTATTTTTGTGTCCCCGCTAAAGAGGTTGTGTCAGGGGAGGAGCTATTGAGGTATTTTTTTATCTTTTCTCAGTTAGTCTAGAAACGTATATACAAGAGTCAGTCCATCATTAACGCTGAAATTATTCAGTTTATAAGTTAAATCAGTTTAAATAAAATGATCATCAATGGGCTGGCTATATCCAAATTATTTTCAATGGCATCCTTCCTTGTCTCAATGTTGGACTACTACTGAAGGGCTTTTGGGGGCTGGAAAAGAGCGCATTAGGCATCACTTTCCGGCTTATATTGATTTGTCTTCAATTCATTCTCAATTTAATGAATAAGGTTCTTAGTGTAGAGATATGAAATTACCAATGTATAAGCACCTGTTTCCTGGTAGTTTCACGTAGCCATCCAAAATGTTGTATTAACAACAACATCTAGAATGGGCTGCTTGATTCCAGCGGCTACATTTTGATTGGATGTTAGATTTCAAGAACCCTCCCCCCACACGCCTGTAGAAAGGCGCTGCGTGTTTGTTTTCTGATTTAGGTAGGACACATTTTGCAGAGTTGTATGCTAGTTTGCAACATTGCATAAAATGGAAGAAAACCTAGAGTAAAAACTGAATTCTGTTTTGCCAGAGGTGTGCTCTATACACAAAATCGAGTCGATGAAGGCATTACAACTTCTCTGCTTGAACACTCTACAAAAAAAGGGCGAAGTTATAAGTGGGAACCTTTTTGGAGCTCCGCCCAAGCAAGGAATTTGATTGGTTTGACGTGTTGTGAGACGTCACTGTGTTTCCAACAATTTTTTGCTACTTTCTACCATTTGATTTCACCAAGCTTTCCGTATAGGCAAGCCTAGTTCTCGATGAGGCTATTTGCCAGGTAACAAGTGTGGTGTAAATTTGACAGGTTCTAGCGTTGTAAAAGAAAAATGCTTTTGTATCCATCTAGCTGGAAGCAAGCATGAATATTAACCATGAACCAAGCAAAATTTGACATTACTTATCGTTTAAAATAATGTTCTACTTCTCTTTAGCTGGAGTTGAATTGAAGCATTTAGTTTATATCTGTATTATTTTAGAATTAGTGCTGACCTTGTATTGGCTTTGTTATCAGCGTTTGGAACTGCAGCGCCCCCTGGCAGTGAGGGATCTGGGGAATTTCCGTTATCTTTATTGAGCGATGCCCTGCCCACGTCGAAAGGTGCTGCCAACATTGTCGATAACACCCTACAACAGGAAGTTGGGGTGACTGGGAAATCTATCTAATGGCCGCAAACTAAGCTGTCCCATGTCGTAAAAGTCAGTTCATTCATATAGGCCGGCCACTTAGCCATGCTAAGCCCAAGGGAATGCTCACATATAGATGTAAAAGGGCATCAGTTTTCAGTGTAACGCTGTATTGGCACTGCACACATAGCCACCAAAGGGTTATTGGAGTTCTTGTGACACCCCACTCACTTGTGTTGTGGTACATCTAGTGGTGGGTCTCGGTTATGGCAGCAGTTGGTTCCTACTTGTTAAGCCTGTCATCATGGTACAACACTGCTGACTAAGACACAACTGCCATGTCGAGGTGCCCAGAGGAGCGGCTCAGCAAACCCAAACCATATCGGGTCAGAGAGAAACTCAGGATTGCCTGTAACTGTCAAATAAAGCTGATGCAAAAGACCTTGAGTCTGTAGATATGAATTGTGCCTCTAAGACTGATAAAAAATAGCTTGTTATTTACAGTGAGACTCTGTAAGTGATTAATACTAGTGCAAGGTTGATCATATTAACAAACTGCTGGAATATTATTTATCATATATGTAGAATTATATGTATTGTATGAGCCCCCTTTGATAGTCCTTGGTTGGAGGCCTTAAAAATGATATGGTGTTTTAAACGCTAAACAGAGAACTGGATCAAGCATTGTGCTGCACAGAGCAGCAGCAGGGGAAAGGTTCATTCTTTGAAGTCCCGCCCCCTCACAGCTCACACTTAGTCTCACTTAAGTCCACCTCATGCTGTTGTGTCCACGTTACGATTAATGGATATCAGTCCAGTGATTAGTGTGTAAAGGAGGCGTCACGTGACCCAGTGAAAGCGCTTAGAGTGGGGGAACCGAAAGGTACGCTGCTACTGGAGCTGAAGGTTGGCCACCAGTATCAAACGACACTAGGGTAGCTTGGGACAGCTATGATATGGCCAGCGCTCACAAGAAATCGGGTAAGAATCCATCGGGGACGGGTGAAATCGATTCTAAAGGCAGCGAAGGACCATAACACCAGATGTAAGTGACCGTGGCGAAAGTGTGCTTCCGAAACCCAGTGTGGTGGTGGTAGTAGCTACCCTAGCAAATGGAGTCTGCTGTGGAAGTTTTGTTCCCCTATATGTGAATAGGTCAGTTTTAACACCACCCTTCTCTCGCTCTCTCTCTCTCTGTCGCTCTCTCTTTCTGTCTCTCTCTGTCGCTCTCTCTTTCTCTGTCGCTCTCTCTGTCTCTCTCTCCTTTTCTATTTCAGTTGATGCTGATGAGATTAAGAGGCTAGGAAAGCGATTTAAGAAACTCGACCTAGATAACTCTGGCTCCTTGAGTGTGGAAGAGTTTATGTCCTTACCAGAACTCCAACAGAATCCCCTTGTACAGCGAGTTATCGATATATTTGACACAGATGGCAATGGGGAAGTCGACTTCAAAGGTAAGACTGATATGGGGTTATTCACCTTTTTAAAATTATAACTTCAAAAGAGCCTTTGTTGTCTGGTCTCTTTTGTGTAGGCTCTCCTTGTGGATAAAGACAGGTGCTGTTTCACCTTGAAATTAAATCACCAACCAAATTCTTAAATGTATAAGTTTTTTTCCAGGAAGTGTTAGCCTGCAATATGATTTATGCTGACCTACTTAAATCAGAAAATGCCTTAACAGTTGTGAAAGAGTTTGTTGTGCCGTTGGGCATTTTCCTCGAAAGCACCCGCTGGCTCTTATACAACTGAGTGAATGGAATAATGATCCGATGTGTATTCATGTCCTTGTTACTGTCCTTAATTGTTGGTTGACTCAAAATGGCTTCACGTTCTTTTACAGAATTCATCGAGGGTGTCTCCCAGTTCAGTGTCAAAGGTGATAAAGAGATGAAATTGCGCTGTAAGTATAATGCCAACTAATCTCAACTGCTTTCACTGTAAAGTTTCCTCTGATTACCCACCTTTGTTGATACACCAATGCTGAGCTAATAAAGCAAATGTTTATGATTTGATTTCCTGTTAAAAAATTATCCACCTTCTCGGATGTTCAGAAGTTCTTCCTTCAAAATCCTCAAAATATGCATATTGGCAGATCATTCCAATGAAGCTGCAATGAAAACCTCTTCAAATAGAGGTCTGACACAATCTTTTGTCTTTCCTTATCCTATAGTTGCGTTCAGGATCTATGACATGGACAAGGATGGTTACATATCCAATGGAGAACTCTTCCAGGTCCTCAAGATGATGGTGGGAAACAACTTAAAGGACACCCAGCTTCAGCAGATTGTCGACAAAACCATCATCAATGCAGACAAAGACGGCGATGGGAGAATATCCTTTGAGGAGTTTTGTGCGGTGAGTCGAAGAAACAATGTTTTACTCTGTTGTAGGGTTGCACATTTCCTGAAACTTTCCATAAAATGTTTTTAAGTTTTTGAGAAATCCTATTTGGAGGATTTCCGGAACCAGTAGGGAATAATCAGGGAAGAAATCCTCCAAGGATTTATTCTAAAAACTCAGAACTTTCTGAAATGTTGCAATCATATTCCCATGATCGCGGTGCATCACTTCTGTTAAAATCCAAAGGTGTCTGTTGCATCCGTGACAGTTTCTTGCCCCTCCTCTGTCTTCCATTAGGTGGTGGGAGGATTAGACATACACAAAAAGATGGTTGTGGACGTGTGACTGACCTCACGGGCCCCCTCAAAACCCCTTTTCGCTTTCTTCTCCATTTCTGAGGATCTGCTCAAGGCGTCATCCAGCAACGCTCTCTGTGTATTTTTCAATGGAAGTATTTTTCTCTGTGAAGCCACCTTTTTCCAACCTGAGCCTTCTGAAGCCAACCATTTTTAAGTGTTATTGAACATGAATTCTCTCAATAACCCGGTGTAGCACTTTAAAAGCCTGAAGGACAGCTTTTTATCGTTGAGCGAGTATTTCAGTTTGGTGGAGGAAGGTTAGTGTGTTTCTTTTTCTTTCTTTTTGAGGCAGTTGGGATTTTTTTATATTTATTTTGGTCTTGGCTTTTTTGGGAGGGATGTGTATAGCTAGCTGTGATGTAACTTGACTTCAACACAACACAAAAATAGAGCATGAAGTGCCAATCAGAACATATAATAAACCGGTTGAATATAATGGTATATATCTTCTATCAAAAATTCGGTATAATTGCTTATTTCAACGTGCATACTGCACGATTCAAACAATCCGATTACATTTTCAGGGCTAATGCTTTTCCTTCTTCTACTTTCACTCAATATTTTGAACAGCTAAGTTTAAGATCATGTAAGACAGCTTTTTTAATAAGGGGGATTGTACACTATATATGTTTATATTGTCAGGGACATCTATCATCTTGCTTTTGAAGATGGAGTGGAGTAGAGAAAATAATATTTACATTTCTGCACATACAAGCTTACGGTTTACTTCAAGTCTTTTTTGAGTCACTGGTTGGTTATGCAAATACTTTTCACCTTAGTCTCTTATTCCAACAAAAAGCACGTCTTTATTCTGGAAGTTATGACATCACAGGCCATTAGAATATTCTCGTTAATGTGTTTTGTATTTATTGCTTTAACGTCAGCCATGTTAAGTTACAGATATGGATTGGTTACAGACTATCATATAGAAGTAGAGATGAGTGCTTTTGGTTTAAATGTTTGTGATACGGTAAATCTAGCTTTTTTTGGGGTTGTATTTACCAACTTAACTGCAGGCAGAGCTGAGGTAACATTGAGAGATGTTAAGTTGGTTAGGCTTATGAGAGGCGTTGATTTCAACGTACACATTTTGTCTTCTTGACAACGTAATTTGGTTATATTTCATGAACATCTTTAATTCGGTTTCTCAAACATTGTATGGACTCTTGCCGTGAGTTGGCGTAATAGTGCAAAGTCACAGGTGTGCTGTCCCTCTTCCTCCCTACCTCTGACCATTCTCTTTTTGTTTTTTTGTTGAGAAGATGCAACCAACAAAGGCATTTTATTACAACGCTACCAATGTTTTTTACACAGAGAGAGATAGGGGACAAGACAGAACCGGTTTTCTTTTTATCTGTAAATTTTATGGAATTAAACGTATTTCAGTTTGTGGCTCTGCTTTTTTGCTCAACTGGATGCACCAACGGTGCGGGTGTTGAAGTGCGTGATCCTGTGCCGCATGCGCCCGCCCGCCTCGCGCCACTGTTTTCTTCAATGGCGTGCTGCACGACGATGGCTCTGATCTGATCCTAAAAGGCCCCGAAGTCTTGTGGTGTGCTTGCATGACATGGAGTGTTCTATTTTTTTCTTTTCTTTTTCTTTGTGCATGTAGATCAATTTTTTGAAAAGCTCTATGTTTACATATGAATCTTAATGTTAATATATTATAACATGAATGAAAATGACATATACATGGATGTTGCCAAAAAAAGAATTGGTAAATGTTGAATAAATATGGAAATGACTAAAAGTAACTCCACTACATGTAACTGTTATTCTAAACAACTATAATCTTTTGGATACGTGTGTCATTTCTATTCCCGCAAAGCTTCACTTATGCCAGGGGAAACCATTCAACATTTTATTTTTATTTTTTTACAGATATCTGTTATTAACATGGTAGTATTAGTGCTCCCTCCTTAGTTTTTGTTGTTGTTGGTCTGTGCTAAATAGGTCCACTATTGGATGAATGGGATCTGTATAGGTGTGTGTGTTTATTATGGGGTGTATAGGGTGGAGGCAAAAACGGTTTCAGTCTTAGGTTTTACTTTTCTTCTTATCCATCTCTGCATGCTGCGTCTGCTGTGGGAACCATCTGCTGTGGGAACCATTGAAACTTCATACATGAAAAAGAGAAATAAACTATTTGAAAGTTGTTACGGAGGCTGGGAATTGTGTGACAATACATGTACTGTGTGCATTATGTATCCATGCGTTCTGATCGTTGCAAGATGGTGCTTAAATTCAAATGAATGCAGTTGTGATAGCACACCGCAGAATAAGTGTGAATGCGCTTTGATAGAATGCCAGCCGATTTGTTAAAGACCAGCAGCAAAGGGATATTTGTTCTATGAAAGTGGGGGAAATGGGTTTGTATTGATGATTAGTATCCCCACATGTACGACAATGTTTTCATAATAGGACAAGACAATTCTATTGTACTGAAAAATGCACTCAACCAAGCAGGAGCAGAATGCACTCATGGGTATGTTATTGTTATACTATAAACTGACCGCTAGATGGCAACATAAGAACTAAAAAAGTTGCTATTTAGTGTCTGGGTGAATCTCAAAAGTATTTTCCTTGTGTCCTCTCCTTGTCTCCTCAAAACGGTTCCTTCCCTCGGGCCTTGTTTTTAGGAGGCGAAAGGACGTGTGTCTTCAGAGTAGTGTTTGTTATTAGTTACCGAACGGCTATCACGAGCTTGCCCCTGCACTTAATATCTTGATTACTTTTACTGATGAGAGATTAAAGCAGTGTCATCTTGAGTGCTGCATCTTCCGTTCACATTGCCTTATGTTCCATGCAAGTACTGCACCCTACTGTCAGTTTTTTTTTTTTACGGAAAAGAAGAGGCAGGAAATGTTTCGGAAGCTGGGTTTGATTTCAAGCTCAAGGCCACTGGAAAACCATCAATTGTAATCAGATACCCTTATTTTACAGTAAGACACACAAAAAAATATACCCATGGATGCGTGCGCTCACACATACATCATACTTCACCAGTGAACTAGATTCACCTACCCTCAGATAATGTGTCACTGTTTTCCTGAACGGTCCTAATTGAGCTCATGCAGAATGTGGCCAGTTGTGCCTGTCACTGCCAATTAAAAGTCCCATTTGTATTCCTCAGCCGAGCCACACATGGACCTCCGAAAGACTGCCATTCTCATGGAACCTGCTCATCTGTTTGTGATTTGGACTTTCAGCGAGTCTCCAGATTTATTTTTACACAGCCCAACATGAAAGACCCCAAGAGCCAACTTCAAAAATGCCATTTTGGCCCCTCAAAATAATCTTACATAATAGCTGAACCCTACACAAATACAATTACGACCGACTGTGTAATTTCAGACACGTTTTAGAGGGGGAGAATTTCCCTTGATTTCAACAAGTGTTTGGACAAGTGTGAGGTCGATTCCATTGCATGGTTCTTTAGATGGAGGATGCAAAGGAATGTACCTGAGAGTATGAATAATGCATAGAAAACTGCATTTATGGTATCACAACAGTTTGTTGAACTTTTAACATTTTGCATCTGAAAGCTTTCATTGAACATTAGACAAAGACCATAGTTGTTCTTAGTAAATCCCAGCAGTACTGATGGCCATGGATAGATAACCTATGGAAAAAGCGCCAACTGGTTGCACCTTTATTCTCATGAAATGAAACCGTACTCGATTTGAACCTCTGGTTGATCTTGAGGACCTTTATACTGTAAGGAAAACCTCTGGGAGGCTTAGTAGTTCAGGTTACTGAAAATGCCCCAATGGAAAAGGGACAGCATAAGTTGGAATGAACTCCAGACATCCTACAGTTACACTAGCACGGGGGGGAAAATCTGCCTCATTTGTACAGATGTCATAATCAATTTCTCAGAGGTGTGAACGGTTAAACCAAAACTTCTAGACCAGAACCCATAGCTCAACCTGAAGCAAACTGTCGAGCAATAGAGAAAGTACTGTAGGTTGGCTTTGAAGTGAGAATATAGAATTGGTGAGAGTTGCTTGACAGGGTTGGGGTCAATTATAATTTAAATGTGGTGAAGTACAAATTGTTGATCGTTATGGAACTACACATCTCTCAGGCTTTGACATTGAATTTTGGAAAAAATATTGGCCTATCAATGTCTGTCATTCTTGAATCGTGTGATGAAATTCCCCCCAAAAAGAGAAGAATGTATAGCTTTCCAAAAACCCAACTCCCTTGGTGATAGATTCACTGTTAATGGAAACCACACTCTGACCGATCTCCCAGCTGAGCTACATGTGGTTCTGATTACTCTGGGCTACTTAGTTCCACAAAATTTCGTGCAGCCCAATAGTTTTTAAATGATTATGTCGGTTTTCCAGCTCTTTTAATGAGGTTCGCTCGTAAGTTGCCTGTGCCCTATGGGTGTTATTTCAAAAGCCATTTTCATCAAATTACCTGTATATTTGTTTGCTGTACATTAAAATCAGTAAGTTGGGTAATAAGAATTACTGATTGAGCCTTAAAGATTATTCACCTCGCATGGCAACCATCGTTAATATCCAAAATGCTTATTTTGGATTAACTCAACTCCATGGTGAAGAAAGTTTCTGATATACTCAACCACCAGAGTTGAGCAGAGACCAGGTTTTGTGGAATTCAGCTCAGACTATATCAATTTGCCCAAGGTCAATACTTTAAAAAATGTAAATTATGAAATGCTTACCTTGTACCTATGTTTGTCCTCTGTAGTTGCATGCCTTTATTTGTTTGCTGAAATCCATACCTTTTCAATAAACGTTAATCAAATACAACCACCGACTGTTTGTTCCTTTCTATTCCTCGAAGATGGCAACTGTGTGAATGTCCATGTGCCAATTTAATCTCCGATAATATAGGTCTGTCTCCAAATACTCATAAAATCACACAATCTACAGATGGTGTAAAGTTGCCATCTTCGAGAAACAGAAATGAGCCAAATCTGTGCTTGTATTTGATTACAGTTTTTTCAAACATAGGTACAAGGTAAGCATTTCATAATTTAAATTTTTTGTATTCACCTTCGGTGAATCGAAATATTCTGAGCTGAATTCCACAAAGCCTGGTTTCTGCTCAACTCCATTGGAGGAGTTAATCAGAAACCCTACACCATGGAGTTGAGTTTAGTCAGCTAATTTTGTACCAAAAGTCTGTAGTTCCTTGTCTATGCTGCGTTAAAGCAACCAAATACATTAATTACCATCTATCAAGAATAAACTTGGTCTCGGCATCCATGCTAATATTAATCCAGTGAGATAATAACACAGTTTGTCAGCTTCCCATGTCAATGAGATTCGATATTGCTCAAATGACCTGCAAGCTTTCAGGTTTCCCTGAGATAGGTGAACTGACTGATCGGTTGATTCAGGCTAAGCAACAAAGACAGTTATTATACGAGGATGGGTCCCTGGTCAAAGCAGTGCACTATATAGGGAATAGGGTGCCATTTGGGACGAAGGAAGCCTAGAAATATCAGCGTCCTCACTGATTGGGACGAGACTAATTAATGGAACGCCGTGAATTGGGGCAAAGAAGGGGTCATTGGGAGTTCAATGCAATTCTCAGATAACGTAATTTCACCTGAAGCGATTGTTAGGTGGCTGCAACAGGGAAACATTATCTGCAGTTAACACTTTCGGCCATCTTGTTCTAGGTGTCAGGTGGGCCATAAAACCAACAAACTGTTCCCCTTAGGTGTGTCGTGTAGGAGGTGATATCAATACAAAACTCCTCCCAGTTTTCTTTAAAATATGTGCAATAGTGAACTGTGAAATAGTGTTATTTACATTTGGCAAGAGAGGGTCTAGTCAAATCACTTTACAAACGGATAACTTTTTATAATGAAAACGTTGTGAGACAATAGCTTTGTGATTAAGTCCGGTAGGTAGGAGATTGGCATCTTGGTGCCACTGATTTGCAGCAACAATACTGTGCACCCAGAACCGGTACAGTTACACACCTGTCTGATGATAACGCGACTCTCCTTACATGTGCCCCAGCCGGGGTGGGTAGCAAGCCTATCTCTCCATCAGACAGCTGCCAGCCTACTAATGAAGGGACCTGACGAGTCCGTCCGGATGGGTTGACTGCATAGGCTGGGCTGCTGAGCAAGGTGCCTCGGAGCACTCCTCGGATGAAACTGAAACGCACTGAGTGGTGTGTGTGCTGGGTTGAATGATTTGCCAATCTTCATAGACTTAAAGATGCAGTTCAGAATCTTAAGCACTTACAAATTCGTAACATATCATACGAATTGCAAAAATAAATAAAACATGTAATTGCAGGTGACGTAGTACAAAATTGTGCACAATTTTCAGGGGACCCATTTTGGCTCGTGAGCACTACTTTCAAAACTACTGTCTGAATTTATACAAAAGTCCTGGAGCATCACTTTAACAGTAAGATTCCCTCAAGGTTTTGAGTGGTGTGTGAGTGTGTGTGTGCGCTGGATTGAAGGGTTCACCATAGACATTACAGTAAGATTCCTTTATTGTCTCTAATGTCTATGCTTTGTCCCATCAAGACGGTGAGCAGAGCTTGCAGACAGACCAATACAGCTCCTCGAATAACCAAGTGTAAAGGATCTATGTAATAAAGTGATACATGGTGTGGATGTGATTGAAGTGGGGCCAAATCCAACCGAGTGGACTGTTCAGTCAGGGCCAGATCCTGAGGCTCCCACGGTGCAAACTGATATTCGACTATGGCTGAAGGATTCATAAGATCCCATGTTACAGGACCCTGAAAGGGTTCAGGTCTCTCCTCACACGCTCTACCAGACTGCATGTGTGGTGTAGTCGAAGGCAAAGCCACTTTCAAACCTTTCTAAAGCCCTGTTTATACCTGGTTCTAAGAGGCATAATTTGTTCTGATCTTGTCCACATTCTGATTGTGCCCACATTTTTAGACAGGTGTAGACGATTAAAAGATGCATTGTGATCTAATTGTGATCAGATCTTCCTGACCAACTCCGGAGGTAGCCGGGGACCCATTGTATCTGGATATCAATCAAGTGTAAACAGATCTGAATGATCAAACTATTGAAATCATCATTATACAGGTCTCTAAATTAATTGACAGGTATCACCATTGGCTTATGGCATCAATTAATTGCTTAGAATTAATATTATTTTGAAAGAATATCTGTCAAAAAATGTGCATACAGGGAGGGACCAGGATATCTGGTCACAATGTGGACAGACAAGAGACATTTTACAACCATGTGTAGATGCAACGGCTACAATGTGGATAGGATCAGGAGAAAGGACAGATGTTAGCACCAGGTATAAACAAGGCTTAAACCATGTGTGCATCCTAAATGGCACCCTACTCTATTTAGTTCCTTATGGCCCTGGTTAAAAGTAGTGCACTATACAGGGAATAGGGTGCCATTTGGGACATCGCCCATCTCTGTTGAAAGCACTACTCATTACTATGTGTGCCGGTCCTAAAGGAGCTCATCGTCCTGTGTTGGCTGTTGCATCGGAATGGTTATTTTGTGCTTAGTGATAGTAGTTCACTTACACTCAATTGTTGTATTCCACAAGAAGAAATGATGGTATGCTAAAGGAAGAGTGACCCTACATGATACAGAAACAAAAGGACACTAGATGTCACTGCTGTACACAAGATAGTATTGTCTGGAAAAGGGGGGGGAATCTTTTTGCAACTTTAATATCTGTGTGCCATCTTTTGAGGCAGTTTCATTATTGTGCAAATGACAAACATAAACATTGTCCAAAAAAAAGACAAGGTAAACATATATATAAACATATGATCGTTTTTCCTGACAGAGCACAAGGCGACTCGTGTTTTATATCGGAAAACTGCTCATGTTGTAATGCTATGTAATTTACACAACTGATATACAATATAATGAAAAGGTGACAGGACAGGCTTAGCCTATTCTGCAAACACAACTGATAACATACTCCCTGAAAAAAGTTAATTTATTACAATCTTTCCAACCGTTTAACGTAAATAAGAACATTTATATTAATATTATTAAAATCATTCAGGAATGGATTGAGTGATGTAAATGATGAGTTGGAACACAGAGAAAGGCAGCACTAGCCTCGTCCAACCATCCCAGTCTAGCGAGCTTACATTCTGTTTCGCTACGAGATCAGGATGGTAGTACAAGGCTACAACAACTCTAGTAGGTTTACTTTCAAGACCTCTGTATGGTCAGTCTAGCACAAGTCAGCGTTTAGAGTTGGCCAACACTGTCCAACTATAATTGGGAATCTTCTTGTATATGTGCACTGTCCCAGCCTCAGGTTGGAGCCCATAGCTTGTGGGCAGTCTGCATCCGTTGCCGTCTCCTCTCCATGGCCTGCTGTTTCTTCAGTTCAATCTCCACCACAGAACATTTCCCAGCTGCTGCGGTCGAAGCGAAAGCTGAAAAAATGAGGATAGGCAGATGAGTCAGAAAAGGGTTACGCCATCATTGACTCTCAGTGAAGTACAAGTCTAATGAATATGACTTACTATTTTAACACAGCAATAGAAGGGTCCAATATTCTGGGCCCTGATGCTTTAATCGAACGTCCACATAAAATAACGCATTGACCTCATAAAATATGCATTGACGTCAATACGTTTACACGTTTCAAGTTGAGATTCAATCATTTTTCACAGCTGCATAACACATTTCTTACCTTTGTTGGTCACAGTGATGACAGGGTTGGACGCGCAGCCAGACTGTCTCTTAAAGGTGAACTGAGTGGAGGTTTCAGTCACATTTACAGGTGACGGGAATGACGACGGCCGCGCTCCACTCCCAGTGCCTTGTTGATTAGCTGTGCTCCCAGCTACACAAGTGCTTTTGACCCGAGTACTTTTGTATGGCCCTTCTCCTGCTGCAGGGTTCTGTTGCCTATACGTGGAGTTAGCGATAGCATTTCCAGCTGAGGCATTGTAACTCGGTCTGTTAGAACCAGAGACCACAGTAACAGGTACTTTGTTGTTATGGAGAGAGTGGGTGAAAGTGTTACCGTTCCCAGGGGCCGATTGTGAATAAACTGAAATGTTGGGATATTTGAATTGTGTGGTCTCGGTCGTTTGATTTACATTGTATCTGCTGCTATTCAAAGGTGCAGAGACAGGGAGAAACTTCTGGCTTTCTGTCTGATTACTGGGCAGGGAATGGGAGCGTGTGATAACAGGGTCCTCCATGCTCTGTACCTGGCTTTCCAGGTTATCACATGCTTGGCACAATAGGTCATCGTCTTTGTCATCCCAGATGGAGTCAGAAGCGAAGAGAGAGTCCAAGTCGTCCTCTGGGACGACGTTGTGGCTAGCTGGGGCCTTGATACCGGTTCCCTTCATATTGTTCTCTGTGGGCTTTTGGTAAGAGCTATTCTCAGCCTGAAGGGGCCACGTTGAATAAGGGTTGGTGGAGGTTGATGTGCTTGAGCTGGTTGAGATCGATGTACTTTGAAAAAGAGGCACCTGCGGCCAAGTCTTTATTCCATTAGACTGGTGCTGCGTTTGCTGGCTACGTTGGTAACTGGACTCCATAGACTGAGCTTTGTTGCTTGGTTGGTTTTGCTGTACGTTCCTATGTGGTGCTGGTTTGACAGTGTCGGAGACATGCCCTGCTTTTGGTAATGCCTCTGAGAGGATACTTTCCGCTTGTACATTAGGATTTGCTTCAAGCGTGAAAGTTTTTCTGTTTTTCACAGTTTCACTCTGTCCTTTAGACACAGCTGGTTTTGTCTCTTTACTTCCTTGAAGAGCATTTTCGGAAATGGCTGAGGGGTTGTTGTTTTCATGTTTTGTTTCATTCGACCCTCTTTGGGTCGAACAATGATTAGGAGCGGCAAAGAGGTCTGGGTTTTGGGTCATCTCAAAAACCAGCGAGTCATCCAGCAAATTGTCATTTTCCCAGTCATCGTCAAAGTTATTATTTGTGGAGCTTCTTTTGACAGGATGTGATGAGGAGACGGTTGATGTGTGGCCATGTATGGAATCAGGATATTTTCCAGGAATGGCTTTGGAGGACACAGTGAGAGCAGTCTTCACCTCCAAGGACTGAGGCAATGAATTCTGACTTAAGTTACCACTTATTTGTTGAGTTGGTCCATCAAATAAAAAATCCAAATCATCTTCCATCTCATGGTCAGGAGGTATCTGGTCTTTGGAGTTTCTCATGCTGTTTGTTTTAAGGGCGGACTGTGGGCTTTCAGGTGTGACATTACTCAGTAAGGGCGGAGGCTGGTTCTCGTTGCCATCTAAATCCAATATGTCCTCCGAGTCTGACAGAAGCTGCAAACTCTGCTCGTGCATATTATTGACTCGTTCTTCATCTTGCTGAAACATGTTGAAATCAAACAGTTTCGCCAACTTTAAAAGGTCGTCCACTCCATTTGGCCTGTAGGGAAGAAAAAAAATGTAGCTATTTGCAAGTGACAAGCTCTATTCTAATAACTGTACAATGTAGAAGAGAGGAGGAGCATGTTATATTGCCTTGGGGATTTCTTCTTGGCCTTGGGCTGCTGCATCTCTGGGGTGCAGGGAATAGCACTGTCTCCAATCCACTGGAGCAAGGATGACTCTGGAACTACAGGTCTCCCATGCTTAAATAAGATAAATTATACTAAATATTACTACAGTAAATATTTCAGAATAACATAACATAGTATCTGTGAGTATTGAACAGCACTATACTAAGAAAGAGCCCAATGAAAAAGGTTGGATGATGAAGTATGAGAAAGTCACATCACTGGGTCTAGTAATGAATATTGTTATAAGTTCGAAAATTGTTTATACATTTATTTGATGGCACACGTGTGGCTAGTTAGCCAGAGTGTTACTAACCGTGGGAGCTATCCTGTTGACGATTTCGGAAATGTCCACAATTCCAACATTTGCTGAGTACTTCTTGCCTCTTTTGCTACCTAAGAAAGAACATGAAAAAAGTTAAGACAGATAAGGTAAACTTTAAATTGATCATCACTGCTTAGCCTACTACATGTGTAGTTATATTGACATGTAAATATAATTGCCTGTCCTAAGGGGTGAAGGGGAAGTTGCATCCCAAATTATATCCTGTTGAAGTTCTGATTCATTCATTGGCGACTCTCCTTTGTTGAATACATTGTTGTATCTCGATGTCACACGAGTTGGCGTCTTGAAATCTGATGATAGAGATGTGAATGATTATGTAATTGGCTCACGTGGTAATAGTTAGCTATCTAAACTAAACAAAAAAAGTAGCTAGCTACATGACATTAGCTCCTAGCTAGTTTGCGGACTAAACTTCCTTCAACATGGAGTGGAGTTCAGTCTGCTACTAACTAGTTTGCGTTGGGCACCATCTAGCTAGAAAATAGCTAACGTTATATAACTAACTAACGTTAGCACAAGGAACGTTAGTAGACCAACACTGCACATAAGTTAGCTAGCTACGGTACATAGGAGCTAATAAGCTGTTTTCATAGCTTACTGGCTACAGGAAGAGCTATTTAGCTAGCTAGTTAGCTGAATCAGTGACAGGTCAATTCAACACATCATGGCTTGCAAGCTACCGACCTTGACAGGTTTTTGGAGAATCAATGAGAGATGGGGTTGCCTGCGTTTGTCTGAGGCTTCTTCTCAGTCTGTTTGTTTTCGGCTTCCCTCCACCTTGCTTGCTCTCGTCTAAACCAGCTGTCATTCCCGACGCGGACGTTTCACAATATTTTCGCCATTCTGTCATATTGTTCGCAGGGATAGTAACTGGCATTTATAGTCAAACTTTATATAAACATATGTAGGTACCAGAATATCTTTAACTACATCGTGTAATAGCGAAATGTAGACAAGTTGTTTTGGAACATCAGACATTCAAACATTCCGCCATGTTGTTCCCATGATTCAGTTCGACTTCTGTTCAAGAAATATTTGTTTTCGTGGTCATCCAATTTGCGTTGTTGCTGCGCATCACATACAGTCGTGGTCAAAAGTTTTGAGAATTACACAAGTATTGGTCTTCACAAAGTTCGCTGCTTCAGTGTTATGAGATATTTGTCAGATGTTACCATGGTATACTGAAGTATAATTACAAGCATTCCATAAGTGTCAAAGGCTTTTATTGACAATTACATTAAGTATATGCAAAGAGTCAATATTTGCAGTGTTGACCCTTCTTTTTCAAGACCTCTGCAATCCGCACTGGCATGCTGTCAATTAACTTCTGGGCCACATCCTGACTGATGGCAGCCCATTCTTGCATAATCAATGCTTGGAGTCTTCTCCGGACAATGTGTTTTCCGGATGCCCCAAACAATCGGAAAGGGGATTCATCAGAGAAAATGACTTTACCCCAGTCCTCAGCAGTCCAATCCCTGTACCTTTTGCAGAATATCAGTCTGTCCCTGATGTTTTTCCTGGAGAGAAGTGGCTTCTTTGCTGCCCTTCTTGACACCAGGCCATCCTCCAAAAGTATTCGCCTCACTGTGCATGCAGATGCACTCACACCTGCCTGCTGCCATTCCTGAGCAAGCTCTGCACTGGTGGTGCCCCGATCCCGCAGCTGAATCAACTTTAGGAGACGGTCCTGGTGCTTGCTAGACTTTCTTGGGTGCCCTGACGCCTTCTTCACAACAATTGAACCTCTCTCCTTGAAGTTCTTGATGATCCGATAAATGGTTGATTTAGGTGCAATCTTACTAGCAGCAATATCCTTGCCTGTGAAGCCCTTTTTGTGCAAAGCAATGATGACGGCACGTGTTTCCTTACAGGTAACCATGGTTAACAGAGGAAGAACAATGATTTCAAGCACCACCCTCCTTTTAAAGCTTCCAGTCTGTTATTCTAACTCAATCAGCATGACAGAGTGATCTCCAGCCTTGTCCTCGTCAACACTCTCACCTGTGTTAACGAGAGAATCACTGACATGATGGCAGCTGTTCCTTTTGTGGCAGGGCTGAAATGCAGTGGAAATGTTTTTTTGGGATTAAGTTAATTTTCATGGCAAAGAGGGACTTTGCAATTAATTGCAATTCATCTGATCGCTCTTCATGACATTGCAAATTGCCATCATCAAAACTGAGGCAGCAGACTTTGTGAAAATTAGTATTTGTGTCGTTCTCAAAACGTTTGACCACGACTGTACAGGCATGCATAGGGATACAACGACAACATACAACTAAAATAGTTACTGTTCCGAATTGGAAATGTTAGCTTTGTTATGAATTATTTTGTTGAATTTGGTTAAATAAAGGATACATTAAATTATTATTTCTTCATTATTATTATTATTATTATTATTCTATATATTCAATAGCGTAGTCCATGTTTATTATGAGGTCTAGATCTTTATATGGCACATCTTGCTCTGAAACCACAGTGGCCAGTTATCATCATGCCCATCATCCAACCTGGTCCCTTAACTAACTAGGCCTACTGTTATTATGATAGATTTCTAATGTAACTTGAATGTAATTATACATTCATAAAATGTAATGTAAATGGATAATGTCTATTTTTTTTACATTTCACCCAAGGGGGGAAAGCAATGACTATTTGAAGGGACATTTCACTTTTTTGCTTTTTGTTCTTAAAAATTAAAATAACGTATGAGGTATTGTATAAATTGTATATCCATTTTTGTCCTGGCACCTATAATATATTTATATGGGCCTCATCAGGCTCTTTCTCGGAAAAGACTGGAGGCAATGTCTGCTGCAGCAGCACGGTGAAAAGTCACTATAACACCCTCTGTCACACCAAATGTGAACACTCCGCCCAAATGATAGTGAGATGAAAGAGCAGGGGCCATAGGCCCGTCACTTCCAATTTAGGTATGAAGCGTCAAACCCGCAGCCAGGAGATGCCTTGGTGGCCTCTTTTGTTGGAAAATTCAAAACCAAAATGTCATTCGCCTTGGAGGGAATACCATGACTGTACAGAGCCCCACACCTCAACACATTGGCCTTACTTCATTTGTTTATCTAGCCATAGGTGGTTATATGGCACCTAATGGTGAAGCACCTAATTGGTGAGTTCATTAGGGGAATGTCATTGGTGTAAATGGAGCCTATTGCAGATCACAGTAACAGCTGTGGTAGTTTGGTGGAATTTCAGAGAGAACCCCAGCACCGTCTGCTCCTCTCGTGCCTGAGTGCTTTGCCACTGGCAGTGTAGGGGTTCATCAGAAACCAGTGGGCCTTAAATTTGAAGGGCAAGATATAAGCATACAGATACATGTAATTCCTTGCAGGCTACAATGGGTGATATTCTGTACACATAGAATATGTCAAATATTTCCTGGCTCCTCTAGGCTAATGTTGTGTGTTTACACACTGTTGAGCTTCCAATGAGGGTAAAGTTAGTTATGTATCCCTTGGTGATTCTGGACTATGACGAAAAGCCTAGCATTCATCAACATCCCTTCACTTTGAAATGCCGTACCACTGCAACTGGCTCCTGGCCAAAGACAGATATGCACGATATTTCATGGAGAGTGCCTCGGAATAGAATACCCTGCTGTGCTAAAGAAAACTTTGTGTTTCTATGCACTGAAAAATAATCCATCGCCGTGCTGTCAGAGGGAAAAAGGTACCTACCTGTTTTTTGCATTAGAGTGGGTAGGCTTCTATGGGGCTGTTTTCCCAAAAAACATTTAAAATGTGAGCCATGACAATGGCCTAGGCTCTAATAAAAGAGCACAGAGCTTTTAGGTTAGCAGATCTCTTTAGAGCCGTCTCAGATTATGTTCTGTAATCGCTCCTCAATCATTGTCTACTTAGGCCTACACTCTTAGGAAAAAAGGTTCCAAAAGGGTTCTTTGCGGAGGGATAGGGTTCTACCAATAACCGTTTTTATCAAGGGTTCTTTGTAAGGCAAAGGGTTCTACCTAGAACCTTTAACATCCTAAGGACTGTTTTTGCAAGGAAGGGTTCTTTGATGATTCTTTGGAAGGCAAGAAGGGTTCTACATAGAACCATACAGTGGCTTGCGAAAGTATTCATCCCCCTTGGTATTTTTCCTATTTTGTTGCCTTACAACCTGGAATTAAAATTGATTTTTTGGGGGTTTGTATCATTTGATTTACACAACATGCCTATGGATTTCACATGACTGGGCAGTGGCACAGCCATTGGGTGGGCCTTGGAGGCCATAGACCTACTTGGGAGCCAGGCCCACCCACTGGGGAGCCAGGCCCAGCCAATCAGAAATCGTTTTTCCCCACAAAAGGGCTTTATTACAGACAGAAATACTCCTCAGTTTCATCAGCTGTCCGGGGACTGGTCTCAGACTATCCCGCAGGTGAAGAAGCCGGCTGTGGAGGTCCTGGGCTGGGGTGGTTACACATGGACTATAGTTGTGAGGCTGGTTGAACGTACTGCCAAATTCTCTAAAACGGTGTTGGAGGAGGCTTATGGTAGAGAAATGAACATTACATTATCTGGCAACAGCTCAGGTGGACATTCATGCAGTCAGCATGCCAATTACACGCTCCCTCAAAACTTGAGACATCTGTGGCATGGTGTTGTGTGACAAAACTGCACATTTTAGAGTGGCCTTTTATTTTCCCCTGCACAAGGTGCACCTGTGTAATGATCATGCTGTTTAATCAGCTTCTTGATATGCCACACCTGTCAGGTGATGGATTATCTTGGCAAAGTAGAAATGCTCACTAACAGGGATGTAAACAAATTTGTGCACTACATTTGAGAGAAATAAGCTTTTTGTGTGTATGGAACATTTCTGGGATATTTTATTTCAGCTCATGAAACATGGGACCAACACTTTACATGTTGCGTTTATATTTTTGTTAAGTATAATTCAGGATTTTAGACAAATCTGACGGAGTTGATCAAATATCCGGACACATCTTTTAGGAATCCCAGTTTTGAGAGAAATAGTCTTTAAAGTCACAGAGGGCTATTGCAAGAAACTATATAAGATAATTTGTCAGTTAATATCCATTATTTAAAAAACTGGGATCCTTTGGTCCGGACAAGGGCATTTCCAGGCATAGAGCTGACATGGAAGTGAATAATATTGATAGTATTTAGAAAACTCCCAAACAAATATTTTCCCTTATAACATTCTCCTAAATGTAAATTTTAAGCTCAAATAATGCTACAAAATCAAATTTGTTCAACTGTAAAATTAAAGTTTCCCTACCAGACTAGGATTGTCCTGACTTTCAAGAATCTCTGAGCTAATTTCCTGCGATTCTACACATTTTGCCATGAGGCTGAGAGAAAAATGTGCAGTTTTAAAGCTAATTTCCTGTCATTCTAAACATTTCTTTCATGGCTTATGACGTGTTCATATGCTATCTGGGGGGCCTGACCTCCGTGGGGATTCCAACCCCCTTCCCCTCCCAAAATATATATTTATAGCTTGTGGGGACGCAACTATTGTCTCATAAAGTATATCAACGTAACAGTCTCTGTGGACAAGATTTCTTCCGGGGAGCTGCAACGGGTTTATTTGAGTTTTTCCTGGTATTTTTAACGGGGCCTCCGAGAAACTGTCATTGTGTTTCAGACACATTTATTTGAAGAATAAAATGAGAGAAATTAGGCAATTTAACAGTAATGAGAAATAGGGTGCTTTGTTGAAATCTTAGAATTCCCCCAAAACTGGAAAATGGCTGCTTCCGTGGAAACATTTGGCCCAAAATGGTGTCATCCAGAAAGAAAGAAAAAATCATTTCAAAGTGATCAGGAATAAAGATTTCCTAATTCAAAACAGTGGAGTCATTGCTTAACTACTGAAAGACAAGGATATTTCTGGAAAGAATGTCGCCTGAGAAAAGCATGAAGCACTTTTTCATTGAAAAACACTTAACTCAATGAAACATGGGTGTTGGCCCTTGACTCAGAGAAGAGGCTAGATGAAGCAAAAAAGA